CTGCAACGCACCCTTTTATCTACATTTATTCTCATACACGTAATGCATAATCATATATTCCTTTCAGAAACCTCTTCCCTTCATCTGTTCTAATGCACACTGTTCATCATCTCTCCACTCTTTCCCCACTCCCGTCCCAACTCCTCATGTCTGCTCTATTTTATAACAGTAGTGTTATTCAGTATTTGTCCTTTTGTGACTGAGATATTTCATTCAGCATAAAGAATGAGATGGTTTCCCCATGTTGTGTGATGTTTTATTATTTCATTGTTTTCCAATGCAGTATATTATTTCATTGTATGAATGTACCATAGTTTCCCTATCCATTTGTTTGTCGGTAGGCACTTGGGTTGCTTCCATCTCTTTGCTGTTGTGAATAACGCAGCAATAAACACAGGTGTGCATACATCTGTTTGAGTCATGGCTCTGGTGTCTTTAGTATATATTTCCAGTAGTGGAATTGCTGGGTCAAATGCTATTTCTATTTTCAACTTTTTGAGGAAGTACTGGACTGCTTTCCATATGGTTGTACCATTTTACATTCGCACCAGCAGTAAGAGGTCCAATCTTTCCACTACCTCGCCAGCATTTGTTGTTTGATGTCTTTATTTTTTTCTCTCTCTCTCTCACACACACAGCGCTCTAGTGACATGTTGTTGTTGTTGTTAAGTGTCATTGAGTCAAGTACGACTCATAGTGACCCTATGAACAACAAAACATGAAGCCTGTCCTATCCTGTGCCATCTTCACAACCTCTGACATCTTGAGACCATTGCTGTTGTCACTGTGTCAATCATCTCGTCGAGGGTCTTCTTCTCTTTTGCTGACCCTCCGCCTTTCCAAGCATTTAAAAGACTAACCTCTCCTTGCAGTATGCCCAAAGTATGAGAGGCGAAACTTCCAAGTTTTGTCTCTAAGAAGCATTTTAAAAGTGCATCTCTGGACGCACTTTTCCCAAGACATATCTGTTTGTTCTTTTGGCAGTCAATGGGATATTCAGTGCTCTTCTCCAACATCACAACTCAAAGGCAGCAATTATTTTGTCTTTTTTATTCACTGTCCAGCTCCCAGATTCATAGCAGTCATTGAAAAATCATGGCCTGAATCAGGCACACCTTAGTCTTCAAAATGACATCATTGCTCTTTAGTATTTTGGAGTGGTCCCTGATAGTGAACTTGCCCAATGCAATGTTTCCTCTTCACGTGACTGCTGCCACTAAGGGTGTTGACTGTTGTTCCAAAACAATGCCATGGACAATCTCAATCCTTTCTCCGCCTATCATGATGTTGCCAATTGTCCCAGTGTTGAGGACCTTTGTTTTCTTGATAAGATGTAATCCATATTGAAGGACTGATTCCATACTGAAGTCCTTATCTTCTGCAGCAAGTGAAGTCCGTAGTGAATTGCACTGCTTAACCAAAGGCTGTACATCTTAGGTGTTTCATCTCCACCAGTGATTTTGAGGAAGAAAAATGGGCGATCTCCTCCCATTATGTAGATAAAAACAAGTTGTGGGTAACACTGAGAAGAATGGGAGTCCCAGAGCACTTAATCGTGCACACGTAAAATCTATACCTGGACCAGGAGCGTGCTGGTTTCTTAGAGGTCATTTCTTTTTTTTAAAGGAGCACCATATTTACAGGAGATATTATTTTGGAGTCAATTTGTTATATGACTACAAGGTGACGTTAGGGGTTAGATTCGGTTTAAGGTTTGAAGTCAAGGTGATTGTCTCAGAGAGACTTTCAGTCTCAACCGGTCTAGCAGGTCTGTTTTAAATCCTGTGGTTTAGGGTATTTGTGGTTCAGTTTCCTCCTTTACCTTCTATCCTATCAGGGCTTATCTTGCTTGGCCCCAACTAGAACTGCTATCAGCAGTGGCCGGGCGGGCACCACCTAGTTCTTCTGGTCTCAGGCTGTGGACATGTAGGCTGCCCTGGAGACTAGTTTTTCCATTGGTTCTTTGTGCTCCTTGCTGTCTGCATTTTGAATAAAAAATTACTCTTTTTCAAATTCATAGACCTTCTCTACTGGATGTACAGTTCTATGAATTTTGACAGATGACTTCTTCTAACCCACACAGCAATCAAGACACAGAAGAGTATGGATTGAAACACATCAAGAAAACAAAGATTCTCATTGTTAACAGCTTTAGTTCACTTGTTTCCGCAATCAACACTCTCGGCACCAGCAGTCAGGAAGTCAGAAGAATTGTATTGGGTAACTAAGTCAGGGATCTCTCCAAAGTGCTGAAGAGCAATGATGTCAGTCTAGAGACCAAGGTGTGCTGATATCCAGGCCATGGTCATCATAATTACTCTCTATGCATCAGAGAGCTGGGCAATGGCTAAGGATGACAGGATAATCAGTACCTTTGAGCTGCGGTGCTGGAGAACAATGTTGAACATTCCATGGACTGCTAAAAGAATAAACAGGTCTGTCTTGGAGAGATTGAAAGCAAGCTCCTTCTTGGAGGCAAGGATTTTGAAGCTCCATCTCACATATTTTGGGCATGTTGCCAGGAGAGACCAGTCTTTGGAGAAGGACTTCATACTTGGAAGGATGGAGAAATGCAGGAGAGGAAGACCTTCAGACGAGTGGATTGACACAGTAACTGGAGTCATGGGGGGTAGGTGTGAGACTGGCTCAGGACAGGGCAGGGTTCAGGGCTGTTGTGCATAGGGTTGCTATGACTCATAGGTGACCTGATGGCCAAGTAACAAGAACAATGTAAGGTAAGCGATCAACTCCAGGGAGGCGCTCACTCCGTAGAACCCTCAACCACGCGAGACTAAAAGGGCAACCTTGGGGAGCTCTGGTGGCCTAGTGGCAAGACGCTGCACTGCAATCCTAGAGGTACTCGGTTCAAATCCACCAGATGCTCTGCTGGAGAAGTAGGGGGCAATCTCCTGTACCAGTCAGATCTGATTTGACAGTACACATAAAAATAATACAAATTAAAAAAAAAATTAAAAGGGCAACCTTGCCCCAGCAAAACAGCGTGGGAAGGAGGAATGGAGAACCACACACAGGAAGTGGGAAGAGTTGGGTGACATTGAGAACATTGTCATTGATGCTATAAAACAGTGTATCAGTGGTTTGAATGGGAAAGCAATTTTCTTATAAACTTGCACTCAAAGGCCAATTAGCACAATTAAAATGTTAACAGGTGTTTCCCCATCTTTCAAAGCTCCAGCTGTGACGCTCTTTGCAGGTGGGGCCCCAGTGTTTCACAATCAAGCTCATCACACCCGTTTTTAGAGACCCGGCCTTTTTTGGGAATGGCTCAGACAGTTCCGCTTCCTCTCCTCTTTGTCTCTGGAACCTTAAGCGGCAGATCCAATCAGGCTCAGAGACCCTGCAGGACGGAGAGCTGTCCCGGATGGTTTCTTCTAACACAGCTGCTGGTGGATTTGAACTGCTGACCTCCTAGTTAGGAGCTGAGCCTCTCAGCATAAAGGGGGCTCCAGAAATGGCAGTTAGGAGCCTTTACCTAGAGATTCTGGGCTCCTTGCCCCTCCCACAGCACCACAGGGAAGATTTAGGTGGAAATAAAGGTGCCCAATTGGAAACGGTTACTTGGGGTTGGTGTCATCTGAGTCACTGATGATCAAGGCTGAGAGCTGAGGGAGAACTGGGGAGACATGAGTGGTTGTTGGGGAGTCTTTGAGATGTGGGTGGTTGGGGTGTTTTGGAGAGGAGGCCATGACTTGAGGTGCTCTGGGGTTAAAGGGATGGGATCAGATTTGGTGGGGTACAGTCTGGGGGTGATAACGCAGAGGTGATGTTCATTCTTGGGTTGTTTTTTTTAAATTATTTTTGTTGTGTACCATCAAATCAGAGCTGACTGGTACAGGAGATTGTCCCTCCTTCTCCAGCAGAGCATCTGGTGGATTCAAACTGCACACGTGTGGGATTGCAGCGCAGCTTCTTGCCACTAGGCCACCAGAGTTTGCCTGCAGAGGGGATGTTGGAAAGGAAGGGATGCAGGATGGAGAGGGCAGGACTGAATTGGGGGGGCTGTGTCTCTGGACGTGGCTGGTCTTGGGGTGAACTGCCACCTCCGGGAGAACGGTGACTTTGAGCATGTTGTGCCTTGCTGTGAAGGGGGGTCCCAGCATCCGCTCACCCAGGGTTACGGCAGGGACAAGCCCACAGATGGGGCAGGGCGGTGCCAATTTTCAGAGTGCTGGGGTATAGGACTGCAGTGTTAGGGATCTGAAGGGCCAAGGAAGGTTCCAGAATGCCAACATGGGGTCTGCAGGGGGCTGTCCAGGTGCAGGGATGATATTCCCTAGAGCTTGTCGCTGCAGCCAGGGGATGTGCCCCGTGTTCCATCCAGGACAGAGGCTGGACCAAACCACGCCCAAGTCCACACGTTCAGACACCTGTGGGTGGCCAGGTGCCTCCTGACAGAACCAGACAAGCAACGGCTGGCTGCTCCCAACACAGAACAGAACATGTATTGGGGGGTTCACTTTAATTAAAAAAAATTAAGCTGGGTGCAGGTTCCCCACAGACAGGTCTGGGACTCGGTGACTTCGGGCACACAGAACGTCTGTCTCTGTTTTCCACATAACCCCCGTGACCGCTTAGGTAATAAAACGATTACAAAGCTTCTCAGGGGCTGCCCAACGCACTGAGGGAATCCAAACGTCCACAGGGCTTCACAACTTAAACCAGACCCTTGTCGCCTCTGGGCGACACTCAGCCCCACATGCAGGAAGGTCCTGACGCACACAAGCTTCAAGGCCTGGTCACTCAGGGAGGTCCCTGACCCATTTATCATGCAGCAGCGTCCCCAGGCAGTCGTGAGGAGGACTTCCGGCTCCTCCTGCCCCATTGTAACACAGATTTCTGAGATCCACTCTCCACATCCAATCACATCAACGGCTCTGTCCTGCACACAGTAGGTCCCTGAGTCCCTGTGCGTGTCCGTAGCCAAACAAGATGCCACACGGGCTGGGTCCAAGTGCTTTTATTGGCTCTGCGGCCCCGCCTCACGCCTGCATCACTGGCCTTGACTTCTTCGCCTGCAGCTTCACCCCAGAGCCTGCAAAGCCTGTGCCGCCCTGTGGAGGACAAGACAGGTGAGTAGGGGTCCCCGACCTCACCAGGTGAAGGGGGCCGGGCCCTGGGGGAGGCTGGACCCACCCTCAGAGGGGAGGGAGAAGGGAGGTAGGTCCCAGGCAGGGAAGAAAGGGGGGAAACAGGAGAAGGGATGGGATGCAAGGAAGGCGGGTGCCCCTACCCGCTGCAGTACGATGATGTCGCGGTCTGTGAGCTTCTCTCCATTCACCGGGTCCACCATGTCCTTCCGAATCAGCTTTTCCACACACTCCACCGTGACCACGGCGCCGCTGGGGTACAGGGCAGGGCGGCTGGTCAGAGGCTGCCTCTGCAGAGCGGCTCCCTGCCCGGTGCCCCAAGCCGTGCTGGTTCCCCAGTCCTTCATCTGTCACCCTGGGCCCCTCACTCACCCTGCCCACCTCCCAGACCCCCTCACTGTCACACTGCCCACCTCCCTGACCCCCTCACCCCCACCCTGCCCACCTCCCTGACCCCCTCACCCCCACCCTGCCCACCTCCCTGACCCCCTCACCCCCACCCTGCCCACCTCCCTGACCCCCTCCCTGTACCCTGCCCTCCTCCCTGGTGCCCTCACCCTCGCCCTGCCCACCTCCCTGTACCCTGCCCTCCTCCCTGGTGCCCTCACCCTCGCCCTGCCCGGGACTCACGAGGGCCGCAGCACGGCGCAGGGCGTGGAGTTGCTCAGGCTGTCCCGGGTCACGGCACACACGTAGCGCTCGCTGCGTGTGATGAGCCCCACGCGGTCCACGGAGCTGTCCAGGGGTGTGAAGCGCACGGCCGTCAGGTCCGACATGCGCAGAGGCTTCCCGGACATGGGACAGGTCGAAGGCCGGGTCAGCGCAGGCTTGGGGAGGGGGCAGAACGCTCCCCACTTCCAGCTCCTCCCTCCGGGGGACTCACGGGCTTCTCCAGCTTAGTGGCCTTGGCCTCGGGCGTCAAGGATGGGATCCAGAAGCTGGGCAGCACTTTGTCCTTGTCCTTGCTGGCGGGGCCCGTGCTCGTTCCAGGCTGGGCATCATCTGGGGAGGCGACAGTGAGGGAGGGGCTTTATCCTGGCCACCACGCACCTGGGTGGTAACCTGCCTGCGGCAAATGCCCCACCGCAGCTCACCTGGGCCGGGCCCCGAGGCCACTTTGGGCGTGAAGGGGTTGAGGGGCCGGCTGACGATGGTCGCCTCCTTTTCCAGGAAGCCTCGGACCTGGTCCTGGGCCGCCGCCCGCTGCAGCTCTTTCTGCTCTTCTCGGTGGGCACCTCGCTGCTTCTCATAGGCCTGGGGGGGATGCAACAGGGCAGGGCAGGCAGAGTGAGGCTGGGCACCCTGGGAGGCTCCTTCCACTTCACAGGGGGTTAAACTGAGCCCCACAGAGGGTGATCCTGGCAGGGCCCTGCCTCTGGGAGTTTCTGGATGGTGCAAAACAGGTCAAGCGCGGCTCCTTGGGAAAACGCAGCAGCTATCTGCTCCTGTTAAGACTGCAGCCTGCAGAACCCCAGCAAGCACTTCCACTTCCACTGCTGAGTGGGAAAGTGATCCGACGGCAACTAACAACAGGCCCATTTCACAGATGAGGAAACTGAAGCCCAGAGAGAGGAAGCACCATCCACCCACTTAACGTCTATTCTGAAAGGACGTAGGCCTCCGAGAGTGAGCTCTGGTGGGCCAGCAGGTGAGGGGCTGTGCCGTCACCCCAAAGGCAGGCAGTCTGAACCCACCAGGGGCCCCCTGAGAGAGAGAGACGGGCAGCCTCCTCCTACGACATGCGGAGCCTCTGAAAACCCGCTGGAGGGTCAGTTCTGACGTAACGGCAGTGAGTTTGTGTCACAATTTGGGTTTTGGTGGGGTATTTTTTAGGGAACTCTTATGGCAGGATGGGTTAAGCGTCGGGCTGCTAACCAGAAGGTGGGCAGTTTGAACCTGCCAGCCGCTCTGAGGACAATGAAGCAGCTCCGCTAAGATTCCGTCTCAGGAATCCCATGAGGTTTGTGGGGTGTGTGTGTGTGTCTTGATGGCAGCGCCAGGCTCCCTGGTCTGCAGTCTAGTGGGGGACGGGGATGCTTGTCACGTGTCAAGCCCCAACAGTGACACGTGCTAAGAGAAGGGGTCCCGGGTGATGAGGGCAGACCGTGGGGACACTGCGGTGGCCGGGGCAGCCACGCCAGAGACATGGACGGAACAGGGAAGGAACCGCACAGTCGAAGGCCCGCGGGAGAGGAAGGAGCACAGACTGGGGTGTTTGGGGCTGCTGGGTGAACACAAAACGGCTGCCCGCCCATGCCCCCCGCGGCCCTCTCCCCATCACCTTCATCTGCCGGGCGATCTCCTTCTTCTGGTGCAGGATGCATTCCAGGATGGCCTCCCGCTCGTACAGGTAGCCGTCGGGGCTGCAGGCAGATGGGGGAGGTGAGGTAACCTCTAGACTCGCTCGACCCGGAGCCCTGGACCATGCCAGGCAGTGGCGACTTGCCCAGGGGTCCCTCCCCGCAGTGCCCTCACCCGCCTGATTCCCGTCCCCCGGCTCACGTGACGACGGGGTCATGGCAGGGCTGCAGGGAGAGGCAGCAACAATCAAAGTCCTTCACCGCATCCCGGCTCAGTCGAATGTTCTGGGTCCCATAGCCTGAGGCCGCTGGGGACAGAGACGGGCAGTGTGATGTAGGGACACAGCGGTCCCTGTCCACAAAGAGGGGGTGGGGAAGAGAGAGACAGAGACAGGGAGACAGAAAGAGAGAAGTCTGGGAGGGAGGAACGCTGGGGAGAGGAGGACTCCACAGTCTGCCTTGGGGTGTCTGTCTGTGAATGCTGGGAGGACAAGACCCCACTAGAAAGGTGCGAATCCCCAGATGACAAGTGACAGACAGAGCGAACCCTGTCACTGAGCATGTCTGCAGAAGGGGCAAACAGACACAAGTTCAACCTTGCTAGCACCCTGCAGGGGGACCGAGTCCCCACTGGTCTCAGTTCTCTCTCTGTAAATTAGTGTAACAATAAGGACCCCTCCCCTGTGGGGTGCTTTACACCCACATAAAGCCTCGGGTCCTTATGCCCTTGGTGGCCTGTGTCATAAAAGCCTATGCTGTTACACACACAATTATAGGGCGCTGAGGAGGGAGCACCAACTAACGGGTGTCAGGTGTCCTCAAAGTGTGAGCCGTCGCTGTGATGTCCATGGGACTCAAAAAGCTACGGGCACACAGAGTGGTGGGGGCTGTGCGACTGTCCCCAGGGCTCCCCAGGACCCGCTCCTACCTGTGTCCTTCTTCTTCTCATGGTAGGTGTAGACGGCGCCTGCGGTGCAGTTTTTGCCGTGTCGTGTCATTCTGCAGAGACAGAGGTGGATGTTGGGGGCGGCGAGGTGCACGGGGAGCCTGCACAGACAGGACTCCACCTCGGTGGCCTGGGCCCCAGCACAGGGCCGTGGTGGTGGGAAGGGAACAGTGACCCGGGACCACCACACCTCCTCCAGGAAGTCCTCCTTCAAGACAGCTGAGGGGCGAGATGCTGTCACAGTGAGGGAACTGAGACGAATACTATAAAACAAAGCCACGGCGACCCTCAATCCGGTTCCCTGGCTGTAAATCTTTATGGGAAGACTCTTTCAGGATGCCTGGCTGTTTTGAAGATTAACAGGCTAATCTGTAACTATGCCGCCAGGGCTCCTTAAACTTTAATCCAAACCACAATAAACTAGAAAGAAAGAAAGAAGGAAAGGAAGGAAAGGAAGGAAAGGAAGGAAAGGAAGGAAAGGAAGGAAAGGAAGGAAAGGAAGGAAAGGAAGGAAAGGAAGGAAAGGAAGGAAAGGAAGGAAAGGAAGGAAAGGAAGGAAGGAAGGAAGGAAGGAAGGAAGGAAGGAAGGAAGGACTGGCCACAACTCATTTGTGTAATAAACATAACTTGTAAAACATTTATTTTAAAAGTCAGTGCAAGGGGAGCTCTGGTGGCCTAGTGGCAAGAAGCTGCAACTACAATCCCAGAGGTGCACAGTTCTAATCCACCAGATGCTCTGCCGGGGAAGGAGGGGCAATCTCCTCCTGTACCAGTCAGATCTGATTTGACGGTACACGCACACAAAAATAATAAAAAATAAAATAAAATAAAATAAAAAATTTAAAAAGTCAGTGCAATCAGATTCCAGCTTCTAGCAACCGCGCAGGCCTGCCCCAGGGGGTGACAGCCCCCGACTTCTGCTAAGGGCAGCTGGTGGGGGCACACTGCTGGCATTCTGGATTAGCAGCCGAGCGCTAAAATACTGTGCCACCAGGGCTCTCGTGGCATAGTCTGCAGGGAACTGCAATGCTAACCCAGAGGCTGGGCCCCTCTCTCCCCTGGTTCGAATCCACCCGCAGCTCCGACCAACTTCAATCAGCAACACACACTCGGAGGAGAAGGGTCCGCGGCCAACCTCGAGCGCGCGCAGCTGTTTGTTTCCGAGGTGGGTACAGACCACGGTAACAGACCTGGTTCTGCCAACGACAGCAATTACGGAACCATCCTGACTGGGTTCGAACAGCCAACCTTGAGGGTTGAGCACATGTGAGTAAACATTCTCTCTGGTTGGATGGAGGGAGCTGGCAGAACCGGGAGGGATGAAGACCACAGATGCGTAAAAAGCAATTTTTTAAAAAACTTGCCTTCCATATTCAAAATTCAGCACATGAGCCTCGGAGAAAACAGCTCTCTCTCTCCCCCTACTGGTGCTTTCCGCTCAAAGCCACATTTTGTTCACAAATTCACAATATACCAAATTCACACAAAGTTTGAGGGTGCAGTTTGATGGGTGTTAACAAATGTCATGTTGTTCTTTGATGCCACCAAATCTATACAACTCATAGGGACCTCATGGGATGGGGCAGGACTTCCCTACAAAGTCGGCTACTCTCTCTGACAGTGGATCACCTGGTTTTCCTCCCCTAACAGCTGCTGGAAACGCCTGCTGCAGAGGGTCAAGGACTGCAGCCTCCAATGTGGATT